CATGGCATTCTACCAAGGGCGACAGTGAGACTCTGTCTCAAAAAAAAGAATGTGTAATTGATTTTCGTTAACAGTTCTTTACTAAGAACTCTTTTCCCAGTATTAGAGCATAGGAGTTTTATTTTTCTTTGGTCTCTCTGCTCACGTATAATATGTGCAGATTAGTGCCTCCACATCTTCGTGAAAATTCTGAAAGTTGCCTCATCTATGTAAGCGTGAAACTGTTAAACAACAGGAAAATACTTAGAACATAAAGCAGTGTCTTTTGCTGAGAGGTTTTATAGAAGTACAGAAAGTTGCCAGTATAGTTTTAGAGAAGTACACCTTGAAACCAAAATAACTCATTTTGAAAAATAAACCAAAACAAAATAAACTCTTAGAAAAGTGAATATAAAAGACCCAACTGTGTGGCTCATGTCTGTAATCCTAGCACTCTGGGAGGCCAGGGCAGATGGATTGCTTGAGCTCAGGAGTTCAAGACTAGCCTGAGCAAGAGCGAGACCCCATCTCTACTTAAAACACAAAAACTAGCCAAGTGGTATGGCAGGCATTTTGTATGTAATCCCAGGTACTGGGGTGGGGAGGCTGAGGCAAGAGGATTGAGCAAGCCCTCCCCCCAATAAAAAGAAAAAGAAAAGTGAATATAAAATTCCAGTAAAGGGATTGGAATAGGAAATCCCCAGCCACTTTGTTTTTGCTTTAGGTGAAAACATGGAGTCCAAGAGGCTTCAATTAATGGAAAAGATGAATTTCCATCATTTCATCATGATGAAAATTGATCTGTAGAGAAGAAGGAAGGATGTATGTTTTTACATCTTCTGACAGTAGTTCTTCCTCTGGAAATTTGTAATATATCCTTGTACACCTACCTATATGCTAAAGTACCAGTGTTCTTTGTAGCATTGTTTGTAATAGTGAAAAACTGACATAATAAAAATATGCAACAGAATTGTGGCTAAGTGTACTGCCACGTTTCCCTGAAAATAAGACCTACCCCCAAAATAAGCCCTAGCAGGATTTCTATGCATTTGTTAAATATAAGCCCTACCCCATAATAAGACCTAGTGATAGGTGTGGCTATGCAGATAGATATTCTCCTGCATTTCTGTGCAGAGGGGTAAGGAAGACTGGAATCTTGTCTGCCACAGCTCCTTTCTCTGAGCTTGTTCACACTTGCGAGGGTGCACGTGTGGTAACTGGGGTCGAAGGCATCCTATTGTGCACGTGCGGATGGCTATGCAACCGGGAGTCCTCAAACTTTTTTAACGGCGCTAGTTCACTGTCCCTCAGACCTTTGGAGGGCTGGACTGCGGGCCCCAGGATGAGTCGGCTGCTAAGCAGGATAGGCAGCGGTGGCAATGGCAAAAACACCCGGCGGGCCAGATAAATGTTCTAGGTGGGCTGTATGTGGCCCCATGGGCTGTAGTTTGAGGACACTTGGGCTAGGGGAAAGGAGTTCATGCATCACTAGTGCCAGCCCCACCAACAAGGTCAGCTCCCCCTGTCAGGTTCCAGAAGAAGATGACTTAACTGTATTTGAATAAATGTAGATTGTTGTATTATACTTAATAAAAAATAAGACATCCCCTGAAAATAAGCCCTAGTGTGTCTTCTTGAGAAAAAATAAATAGAAGACAGTGTCTTATTATTTTCAGGGAAACATGGTAATATGAAAAAGTCTGCAACATAGAATGTTATATGAAAACATGCAGGACAAGTTTTCTGGTAAGGATCCCTTTTGTGGAAAGTAAGCTGAAAAAATACAGGTATATACATTTTTGTATGTAAGTAGATTCACATGTGTACCCACATAACTTAGATATCTGTATAATTTTTTGAAAGACACAGAACCAGCTCTTAGCTGATTGATTTTAGGAATGGGATTTTTGTATTTGGGAAAGGATGAATTTAACTTTGTTTTTATAGGCTTTCATTGTTAAATCCTCTTAAAAGTTGAAATCTTACTAAAATGGGCTTGTAAAACAGTTGCCAGATTTTTAGCTTGAGGATTCTGAAGATACTGACTTGTAACAATTGTTGGGAATTAGCAATTTCTGATGGCTTTTCTGCTTATTCATAATGAATTGAGTAATTTTCAGATTAATAAAATACTTCTCAACCACAGTATTTGCAATGCACTTTTTTTTAGCCTTATCATTGTTACTTTATCTGTGATACAACTTTTGATTAAAGTTGAGTACAGAAATGATTGAAATGCCCAATGTGAGGGAAACACAGGGCCCAAACTCAAATACGTCTTAATTTCTTGAGTTGATTACCATATTTCTTTTCTTTTTGAGACAGTCTCAGTTTGCTGCCCTTGGTAGGGTGCTGTGGCATCCCAACCCTCAGCAACCTCAAAGTCTTGGGCTCAAGTGATTCTCTTGCCTCAGCCTCTCATGTAGCTGGGACTACAGCCGCCCCCCCACAACACCTGGCTAGTTTTTTGTTTTTTGTTTTTAAGAGGAGTCTCTTGCTCATGCTCAGGTTGGTCTTGAACTCCTGAGCTCAAGCAATTTACCTACCTTAGACACCCAGAGAGCTGGAATTATAGCTGTGAGCCACTGGGCCCAGCTAATTACCATATTTGATTTGGAAACTTAACATATTATTTTAAACTTAGATTGTATTTTCTCCCTTCTTTACAGATACTCACCTAAATAATAGCAAATAACAGCTATTTGGCAGTGTAGCAATTTGTAAACTATAGTTGTATGCTAAATCTTAGAATTTCTGTTTTAACCCCTTACCTGATAGGGTTGATAGGAAAGTTGTACCTCTGTCTCTCCTAAGGTTCTGCCACCCAACCCCAGGTTCAGGTTAAGTTAAGGTTCTAGAGGCTGATGAAAGTATCAGAATATTGAGATGAAGGTGCAATCTGATTCTTAAGAAATTTGCTCAAGTGAGTGTTGAAACATCTTTTATTCTGGTCAAGATGTCCTTTTAGATGTAGCAATATTCAGTCACGTGACCATCTGGTGTTTCTGTCACTTAGGGAGAGTCTGCAGGGTTGGCCCTGGACTGTGCCCATCTACCAAGATACTACATACCTTTGCTGCCTGTGTGGCCTCTTCTAGAGGCTTGCTTTGCCAGGAGGCCCCAGTAGCACTCCTCCCTCCCTCTACCCAGATACACACATAAGTGCAAGCGCATGTACAGCACACTTTTATGCTACTTGGAGATAAACCCCTCACTCTCTGTTCTATGCAGCCTTTTTTTTTCTTGTTAAGAGACAGAGTTATGGTATATTGGCCAGCCCCAAACTCCTGTCCTCAAGCTATCTTCCTATCTTAACCTGCCAAATAGCTGGGACTAAGGCATAAATCACCACTCCCAGCTAATTTTAAAAAAATTTCATTCTAAACCACAGTAGAGATCCTTTAAAAATGTTTATTTATAGACATAGGGTCCAACTATGTTCCTCAAGCTGGTCTTGAACTCCTGGACTGAGGTAATCAATTCTCCTGCCTCAGACTCAATTTCTTTGTGCCAATCATTTCATTATCTTTGCTATCTACTCAGGATATGTTGTGTTCCGGTATTTATTTGCTATATACAGATTAAAAAACTCTCAGGCTATTTCTTCTTTCTGGTTTGCCATATCCCTCTTCTGGGGCAGTGAACACAGAGCCCATTATCTCTTTAAAAGAAGGAAAGAGAAGGGAACTATCAGAAAAAAATTAATCTTTCAGAAAGACCACACTTTGTGTTAATGCTTAATTGTTCTGACTTTAAGCAGTTTTATCAGTCTGTTACAGGACTTTGTACAAAGTTTACAAATGCTCCACTGTATGCATTTTTACCTGCTTACTAAAATAAAGGCTTTGGTGTGGATTTTTTTGTGTAGCCAGGAAATTTGTTAATTCCTAAGTTATCTTCTAGTGTTTCCCCTTTTCCTCCCTTTATATCTGAGGCATGGAACACATACTCTTCAGAAACTTGACTTATTGAGGCAGTGTGAAAATGCTTCCAAGAAGATTCTGATAAAATTTCCTTGCCCTGCCACAATTCAGAAATAATTGCCTGACTGGATTTTCTTTTTTTTTAAATTTTTCGGAGACAGAGTCTTACTTCACCACCCTGGGGTTGAGTGGCCTTGGGGTTGTGTGTTGTAGTGTCATTGCTCACAACAATCTCAAACTCTTGGGCTCAGGCATACCTCTTGCCTCCTGAATAGCTGGGACTACAGGTGCCTACCACGACACCCAGTTTTTCTATTTTTAGTAGAGACAAGAGTCTTGCTTTTGCTCAGGCTGGTCTCAAAATCTTGAACTCATCCTCATGCCTGGGCCTCCCAGAGTGCTAAGATTACAGATGTGAGCCACCACACCTGGCCTGGAATTTTTTTTAGAACTTTTCTACTTAATTTTTTGAATGGGTAGAATAGTCATATGGCTTAAAATTCAAGAAGTATGGAACAGTAAACTCAAAAGGTTTCCTCTAACTTCTGTCTCCTAACTACTGGTACTTGTTTTCTTTTCCCACATAGGCACGATTTAAAACTTAACCCTTCCATAAATTATTTTAATATATAAGCAAAATATATAATATATAGCATATGCTCATGTGTAATACATAAATCCCCCTCCCTTTTTATGCAAGTGCTATTTGCTGTTCTGAATATTCGGTTTTTGGCTTACTAGTAGTATATTTTGGAGATTTTTTTTTTTTTTTTTTTGTAGCGACAGAGTCTGTCTTTATCTCCCTTGGTAGAGTGACATGGTGTCACACAGCTCACAGCAACCTCCAACACT